GATGCCATAGAGTGCTGTGAGAGCCATGGCGACAGTGAAGATGAAATTGCAGTTGCTGATGATGATTATGATTGTGATAAGCAAGAAGAAGAAGAAGAAGATGTGGTTTATCATGAGAGCCATGGCGACAGTAAAGATGAAATTGCAGTTGCTGATGATGATTATGATTGTGATAAGCAAGAAGAAGAAGAGGAGAAAGGTATGGTTCATCATGGTGATGCCATAGAGTGCTGTGAGAGCCATGACGACAGTGAAGGTGAAATTGCAGTTGCTGATGATGATTATGATTGTGATAAGCAAGAAGAGGAAGAGGAGAAAGGTATGGTTCATCATAGTGATGCCATAGAGTGCTGTGAAAGCCATGGCGAAAGTGAAGATGAAATTGCAGTTGCTGATGATGCTATCAAGCAAGAAGAAGAAGAAGAAGAAATGGTTTATCATAGTGATGCCATAGAGTGCTGTGAGAGCCATGACGGCAGTGAAGATGAAATTGCAGTTGCTGATGATGATATCAAGCAAGAAGAAGAAGAGGAGGAAGGTATCGTTCATCATAGTGATGCCATAAAGTGCTGTGAAAGCCATGGCTATGATGAAGAAAAAATTGCAATTGATGATGACGACAACAAGCAAGAAGAAGAGGAGGGGGATGTTTCAAATCGTATTGATGCCATGGACAGCCGTGAGTGCCATTTGCAAGGCCATGTTCCTGATGATGATTGTAGTAATCATGATGCTGATGTTGCTGATGATGCTGATGATGATTGTAGTAATCATGATGATCATCATGCTGCTGATGATAATTGTACTAATCTTGGTGATGATGGTTATAACAGTGGTGCCTGTGTTATTGATGGTGATTTGGGTGTCCCTGACAGTACACTCAGTGATGAGAGTGACGATAGTTCTGATGGAGATGCAGATCACAGTGATAGAGGCCAAGACAAGAAAGAACTACATGTCCTTTTTGGATGTCACCAAAGTCCCTACGTGCCATCTCTATGGGTTGCAGG